GGGCGGCGGGGGGGGGAGAGTGCGGACGAAACTTGCGCTCACACACATGCACACACACACGCGCGCGCGCGCGCGCGCGCGCGGCCCGCGGCACGGGCCTCGTCCGGCATGGGGGCGATTGCTTTCTCGCGCTGCGCCCGCGCGCGCGCCAGACGAGCCGCCATTCAGCCAGCCCGGGCACCAGTGCAAGCGCTGCGCCGCGGCCCACTGCTACAGCTGCAATGGGCAGGGCTGCCTGGTGTGCGAGTGGCCGAACTGGCTGCCGGAGTACAGCGGGCCCGGGGGCCAGGTGGCCTGCCGGCAGGATGCCTGCTCGCCGGGGTTCCACCTGGTGGCCGGGGTGTGCCAGGCCCAGGAGCTGGCCCTGGCGCGGATGGTCCTCGGCCAGCCGGAGGCGGAGCCGCTGCCCGGGCTGGACCCGGGGGTGCCGGTGACCGCGCTGACGGCCACGCGGCTGACCGTGGACCCGGGGTCCGGCCGGCCGGTGGTGCCGGCGGTCCATGATGACCCCGGGGCCGAGCCGGGGATGGTGCTCCTGCTGCAGGCCGGCCCCCGGGCCCGGGCGTGGCTCATGCCGAATGGGGCCATCGGCCAGCCGGGCAAGGGCCCATTGCAGCCGGTGGCCCTGCTGAGCGGCCCGCTGCCGGCCGATGCGGTGGCCGTGGCCGAGGTCGGGCCCTTCCTGGCGGATGGCGGCCAGCTGCTGCTGGGGCTGGTGCTGTGCGACCGCCAGGGGGCCGTGCATGGGGCGTGGCTGGGGTGCGCGTCCGGGCGGGCGGACGGGTCGGCCGCGTGCGTGGCCGCCGGCGGCCCGGCCGTCCTGACGCCCCTGCTGCAGGGCACCGGCTGCGTGGAGCTCCGGGTCCAGGCGACCACCGGCCGGCATGTGGTCATGCTGTCGGCCCGGGCCCAGGGGGCGGCCCTGCTGGAGGCCGATCCGGCCGGCCGCCGGTGGCTGGCCACCCCGGTGCCGATGGACGGCATGGTGGTGCTGCCGGGGCCCGGGGGGCCGGCCGGGCGCGTGGCCGACCCGGCCGTCGGCGACTGGCTGGTGACCACCCATGTGGAGCTCCTGCCCTCGGCCGTGCCCACGCGCCTGCCGGTGTGGGACTCCCGGTGGAGCGCCCTGGTGGGGAACTTCCTGTACAACATCGACACCTGGCCGGATGTCCTGACGCCGGTGGTGCTGCCGGCCGGCGGGGGCTTCCCGCTGGAGCTGGTGCTGGTGTCGACCAAGGGCAATGGCTGGCGGGCGATCCGCGTGCCGGGGGAGATGCAGCCGACCGGCTCGGCCGCGCACCTGCTGACCAGCATGCAGGTCCTGCTGGAGAGCCTGCCGGGGCCGCTGGGCCCGGGCGGCCTGGCCGGCAGCCCGGGTGCCCGGTTCCAGGGCCTGCGCATCCCCGGGTCGGCCACATACCCGAGCGCGCTGCTGCTGCAGGCGCACACCATGCTGGGGGTGGCGCTGCTCCGGTGCCCGGGCGACCGGGTCCTGTGCAGCTTCCTGCCGGCCGTGGTGCTGGAGCTGGCGCCGGGGTTCCGGCTGCCGGCCGACGGCATGGGGCTCTGGCAGCCGGTGATCGCGCGGGCCGGCGGCCCGGCCCCCGGGCCCGGGCCCGCCGGCGCCGTGCCGGTCCTCTCGCTGCTGGCCTTCTCCGAGGCCACCGGGCCGGTGCATGTGCGCCTGGGGGCCGACTGCCCGGCCGGCACCTTCGGGCCGGCCTGCGAGGCATGCCACCCGGCCTGCGAGCTGGCGTGCACCGGCCCCGGGCCCGGGGCGTGCGTCTGCGCCTTCTGGCTGCCGGAGGACCCGGCCGGGTGTCTGGCGGCCTGCCCGGCCGGGACCTACAGCGACTGGGGCGCCTGCCGGGGGTGCCATGCGTCGTGCGCCGAGTGCACCGGGCCCGAGGCCGGGGCGTGTGCCGCATGCGCCCCGGGGCTCGTGCTGGAGGATGGCCGCTGTGTGGCGGCCTGCGGGGCGGGGGAGTATGCGTGCGCCTCGGCGTGCCTGCCCTGCCCGGGGGGCTGCGCCCGGTGCGAGCAGGCCAGCGGCAGCGGCCCGGGCTGCGAGGCCGTGTGCACCGGCTGCGAGCCGGGCTCGGTCCTGGTGGGTGGGGAGTGTGTGGCGGAGGCCTGCCCGGTGGGGGAGTTCCTGTCGCCGGAGTCCGGGGCGTGTGCCCGGTGCCACTGCACCTGCCGGGGGTGTGCCGGCGGGGCCGGGCTCGACCGGTGCACCTCCTGCCCGAGGGGCTTCCGCCTGTCGGAGGAGGGCCGGTGCCGGGTGTCCTGCCTGCCGGGGGGCCTGTGCCCCGGGCGCCTGGCCGAGGCGCTGCTGGTGCATCTGCTCTGCTGGGCTCGCGCGAAGGGGGGCGCCGGCCACTGAGACGGACGCGGGGCGTCGGGCGGCCGGCCCTTTGTGATCGTGCAAAAAAAATAAAAGTAGAGCATAGCTTCGCCATGTGTGGCGCGGGCCGGCGGGGCGAGGGGGTCTTGCCCGGGCGCGCGGCACAGACAGATGCCGGGGCCTCGGGCGTGGGGCGCGGGCCGCCGGTGGTGGTGCTGGGCGCGGCATGCAGGGCGGCACCGGTGCCGCGCGGGCGGGGCGGCGTGTTGGTGGCCTTCCCGCCGGTGACGCCCTCCCCCCATGATGCGGGGGTGATGGCGGCGTGCGCAAGTGCGGCGGGGGTGTCCGGAACACCAAGGACGCGCTGGCCGCGGGCGAGCTGGGTCTGTCGCGTCGGGGCTCCGGGCGGCGCGCAGGCTGCCGGCGCCCGGGGTGCGCCATGCCGAAGGAGAAGGAGACATGCACGCGGCTCGGGGAGGCGGGCGGGCCCGGGGGGCCAACGCACCCGGGGGAACAGCGGCACGCCGGCCGGGGCGGCCCCCGAGATGGCGCGCCGGGGTTCGCGTGACTCCGTCACATGCGCGGCATGCCGACGCTCCGGTCATCGCGCATCAACAGCCCGGGCTGGGCGGGCAGCGGTTCGGTCTCGGTCGGCGGCCCGGCGATCGGGCACGCCCGCGGGGGAGGGAGCTCGCGGGGACATCGACGACCGGCCGGCCCCCCGGTCCTGGCTGGTATGTGTCCGTGTGTGTGTGTGTGTGTGTGTCTATGTGTGTATGTGTGTGTGTGTATGTGTGTGTGTGTATGCATACATGACGGGCACGCGAGCCGTTGTGCGCCGCCGCAACATGCCGCCGGGATCGCGCACACACAAGGAGGCGGCGGGCCGCCCTGGTGATGGGGGGCGGCGGTTGATTTCCTGGGTGGTCCGATCGGCCGCCGGTGCGAACACACCCGAGGGGGGGCCTCCGCCCCCGCCGGGAGGGGGTATAAGGGGCGCCGGGCCGGGGCGCCTCCGAGAAGATGCGGCGCACATGCCGAAAGTAAATCCTCCCCCTTTTTCTGTTCACCCTTACACGCCTCCCCTCTTTTTGTGTCCACCCTCACACGCCTCCGCCCTTTTTTCCTTTTCGGTATGCCTCGAGTCTCTGTGTGTGCTGCTTTGCGCGGAAGTGCGGGTCTTCCCGCTGGGGGATTGCACGGCC